AGCTTGTGAATGGACACACATCTGGGCAGGGTTCTGGGCAGCCCCAGCCCAAAAAATAACTAATAAAGAAACCAAAAAAATCCAGAAAAGAAAAGTTGTGTTAGAAATGCAATACAAACCACTTCTGGCTGAGGATCACATCAGAATTCCTCACGGACTGGAAGATAAAAATGAAAACAACAGAATCAGACCTTTAGAACGCTTTAGCCCCTTGAAAACCAACCAATTTATGTCACCCTCGCCCCCCTTGACAGCCAACATTCAAAAGAGAAAGGACCCCGTATCTGAGCTCCTTTCGGCATGTGCAGAACAACCGGCCCTCAGCCAGCACCCTACTCACAAAAAAAAAAGAGAGAAAAAGGGCTGATTTTTGTTGCACTGGTGCCCCGTGCAGGTGACCCCCAGGTGATTTGCCCGGGTCAGCTCGGCCTGCTGCGCGGCTGGGCGAGAGCCAAGTAGCCTAGGTACCAATGCAATTTCTCTTTTTCTTTTTTAATCGTCCATCACAGACCGGTGGCACCAGGCTCTCCTCGCCATCACATTCCTGTGAATGCATTTCTGACTGTGGTTCAGAGGAGAGCCGCCATCACATTCCCGTGAATGCATTTCTGACTGACTCTGGTTCACAGATGTTCCCATTTCTGACTGAGGCTCACCAATGTTTCCATTTCTGACTGCGGTTCACTATTCTTTCCATTTCCCACTGTGGTTCACCATTCTGTAAATTATGAGTACACACACACACACACACACACACACACACACACAGAGAGAGAGAGAGAGAGAGAGAGAGAGAGAGAGAGAGAGAGAGAGAGAGAGAGAGAGAGAGAGAGAGAGAGCAGATACATGTAGAACATGCCTCTGTGCATTGGGTAACCAGCATAAATAGAAAATAATAATCTAGACGAGCCGAAATGGATGTCAAAACATATGTCAGTTCTAAACCCCCCCCCCCCCCCCCCCAAAAAAAAAAACAAAAAAACAAAAAAAAAACCACATCGGTAAGTGTCCAAAATAAGGAACTCGCAGTATATCTCACTGGGAAGTACAATGAGTTGAAACCCTTGTTCACGTTCTCCATGCGAGCAAAGCAGCAACATCTACTCCGAAGAAACAGTTTGTCACAGCCCCCGTTTCTTGTCCTTTTCTCCCTTTCTGCCTACGGTGCGCTGGGAAGCTCTCTGCAACTATGGGACTCTCGCTACACTACTCTTCACTCTCCGAAATTGGAGATTTTTTGGTCGCTGCACTAATTCTCCGATTCTACCCACTCGGAAACCTCGGATAGCTGTCAGAAACCACAATTGAAAAGCACTCTCTACGGTTGGAGAGTTCCCAGCCTGCAATATACGTTACCCAGAGAGACCTTTGAGGAACTCACGGCAGGACCCCGAATTCGGAGAGTGTGCCTGGAGTCTGTGCGGACGAAATGGTGATGACACCGTGTCTTCTTCTGCTGTCATGGTGTCTGCCAGTGCACTCAGGATTCGACAGTAGGAGCGTGGAGATAAGTGCAGCGGCGAAGCTGAAAACTCGAATTTTTCCCAAAAAAAAAAGAAAAAAAAAACGAAGTCGAATTTGGAGAGTCGGACAGCTCTCCGTGCACTCTCCCGTTTCATGGACAGCTCTCCGTGCACTCTCCCGTTTCATGGACAGCTCTCCGTGCACTCTCCCGTTTCGTGGACAGTGGAGAGTAGTGCAGCGAGACTCTATGCATGCATGTATGTGTATGTATGTGTATGTATGTGCATGCCGGCTTTTGATGAGGCATAAACTCTACTTTCTCTAGAGTCTTCCGTCTGGTGTGGGTTAGTGATAGCCTGCTTTGAAAAAAAAAAAAAAAAAAAAAAGTGATAGCCTGCTTTGAGCTTTGTCACAGGTACCCTAGAGGGGGCAGTGGTTTGTGCCTAACTGGGAGTTATCAGTTGTGGGCCAGTGGTTGATGCCCGGGTCCAATTACGGTTAAGGTGGGGGAGCAGTGGTTGGTGCCCACCTGCATTTGGGGTTAAGGAGGATTATCACTTACGCTGTCATCTGTTTGGAGACAGCGCACTGTTGAAGGTTCAGCCTCATGATGAGTCGGGTGAAAGGTCTAACGAAGTCTGTCTCCATCCCCCCTTTCTTGTCTTTTTCTGTCGGTGACAACCTAACGARCAGTCTCTCCCAGTTACCCCGTGTCTCGTCTCCTCCTCCCTTTCTCCTCATTGCGACAGTTCTCTGTGATAATATATATGTGCAGGTATATGTGTGTATAAATATCCTGTCCCTGACCTTCTGCCGACGATTCTACGCTTTCAGGCTGTTCTCGCTCCCTGGCGGCACCTTACCTTAGGTTAGGGTAGCTATGCTTCTGCCTTCGGGGTTCCTTACCGACTTTCACCATTTCCCTCCCTCAGTCTTGGAGGTTCTCTCTTTCCTGTCCACTTGGGCTGCCGGCGTGGGAACAGGGATTAGTCGTGCTCTTGTGTTATTAGGATTATATGATGGGTGTGGGGGACCTGTCGTCTGGTTCTGTTTCATTAGGATCTCAGTGTGAGTTCTCATGATTACGGGGCTGTAGGGGGGGATGATATTAGTCGTTGCGAAGGCTGTGAGCCGTTCGACCATGGGATAATCACTTCATAGATGACTGAGCAAGAGGTCAATCCGTCCTCTCGGGGAAGTAATCAATGCCCCTCACCTTTCCTTGCCGCAAGTAATGAATCAAGGAATCTGTCTCCCCTACCGGCAGTGGCTCGGACTCTTCCAGCCGTAATGGGGAGAGGCATGTGTCCATTGTTGTAATGCTTTTGTAATTCAAGCCTTGGGAACTGGGCCCTCCTTCTCTTTGGAAAACGAACAAAAAAAGTGAATGGCAGAAAACAAAGCATTCTATGCCGGATGATCTGGACCTGCAACAGAAAATAAAAGCTAAATTTGCAAGGGTATGGCTGGTGGGAGGCAGGGTAGCGGAAATAAATGGCTCCTGCATGCGGTGGAAAGACTGGCACAATTCAGAAGCGGGGCTTAGAAGGCAGAGGTCCCAATCAGCAGCCCGACAGGACCCCATACTGGCCTCATAAATTCGATGGCATGGCAGAGAGGAGGAAATCTACAAAGAAACAGTCAACGACCTATACGACCAGATTTCCAGTGGGACATCCCCGACAAGTTCAGGGGCTTTTGGATCCGATTCCACATCCTTTCTTGGTTTCACGTCGAATTTGGCAGGTTTGGGAAAACGGACCTGAGAGGAAAGGTAGAGAGGGAAGGCAAGCTGACAGTCAATCCTCCTGAAATATGGAGCAATCAATGCTGCGCAGGGGTCCTTTCGGCAAACGGAAGGAAGCATGAGGGTGTCCTTGTTTTATTTTGACTTGCCGGTGGAATAGGAACCGGATTGATGCTCCCCAGAATGGATACGGAGCCAGGGCCATAAGGACCTGTTTGTCTCAAAAAAAAAAAGAAGAAAACCTGGAATTGGGTAACAGGAGAGAAACCCTGTAATAACTTAGGTAACCAGGGTCGCACTGCCCGGGCCGCATGGCCGGGTGAGCTGGGCGAACCTGCACACGGGGGGCGACCCGCCCAGGGTACCCGGGCGACACCAAAAGTTTTTTTTTTTTGGGGGGGGGAAAGGGGGGGCGATGGCGCAATTTTGCACCCACTGAGATGTGCCCAAATCTGGCCTTATCTTTGAATTTGGTGATGTCTCACCAAAGGGTGTCTATGGGGTGTAAGCGGGGTCCGAAAGGGCTCCAAGGGTCTTAAAGGGGCTTATAGGGGTATGATACTATATTTTGTTGTTATTTTTTATTTCAGATTTCGTAACGAATTCAGTCGAAAATTGTTATTTGCAATTCTGCATCATATAGTTTTTTTTTTCCAGATTTGTTTGGTATTTTTTTGCGCTGGGACTGCCCAGGACCTTGACCGGGACTTTGCCTGGACCCGACCCGGCAGGCCCACTCGGGCCAATCTGAGGCAACCAGGGCGGCCGCGGCTGGTAACCCAGGTAATAACCTTGGACCTCTTTTTTTTTTTTTTTTGAAACCACTTCATGATCACATGTCGAGTAGAGGAGCTGAGGGGGCAATCGGCACCCAAAATTCTTTCTCCTGGTCTTTAATGATAAGGGACATCGGAATGCATTCTTCCCTTGTCTCGGTCGCCGAGAGTAGGGGATGGGATTCTCCCTTCTGCGGCCAGCTTTAACTTCCTGCAGGTCAAGCTAACCCATTTGGCAGCATATGCTTATCTAGGTGAAAATTATCCAAACAATGAAAACTTGGGCCTGTTCCAACCGACCTATTGGGACCACCCAGCTTTATTATCTTCTACGGGTTAAACCCACACCGAAGGCCTATATATGTTTTTTTTTTCTTTTTTTTCAAACACCAGTTGGCGCTGCTAGTGGCGGTGATACGAACCCCCGCGGTAGCAGTCCACCAGCACCTGGCGGAAATCGGGTCGAGCGTCCCTCATACAGAAACTTTCACAGAATTTGTAGAAAGTTCGTAGGAAGAAGTTCCCAGCTTATCCAAGCAATGAAGCTCGGTGCTGTTCCAACCGACCCACTGTGACCACCCCACTGCTCTCACCTTCTCACCTAGCGTCTGGCCTTTACTCGCTAATAATTTAGACGAAAGGCCTGTATGCAGCTTGAAAAGAAGAAGTGGAAATCATATGAACGAGGAAACTTGGTACGGTTCAATACAAACAAGGAAACTTGCAACCAACTCAGTGTGACGGCTCGACTATTTCGCAAGGACCTCAAGACCAATCGAAATGCTCTGTTTCTGTGAGTACGTGTCGATCTCTCTACTGCAACCTTCTGTGAGTACAATGTCGATTGCCAATTATTTTGAAACCTCTCGTTTCTTTTTCTCTTTGTAGCCATACACGCATAAAAAAGAACATGACATCCATCAGGCTGGCCACATAATAAACAAAACTGTGCACTGGAGGAGGTTGAACGTCTGACGTCTAGGCGTGTGTGTCTAATCATGAGACTTTGGCTCACTAATCTGAGCTCCACGGTATGATTGATAGATAGCTGATTAGCCTGCATTGACGGTAAACATGTTCAGGACCAGCTTAGCCCCACTGATTGCTCCCTCCTCTCTATTGTTGTACGTCAGTGTTTCTTCTTCAAGGAAATGCGTTTTTTTTTTTTTTTTTCGGTGGTTTGAGTACTTGGGGAAGGTTTTACATGCTGTTTCACAAGCTCTTGCTTCATAGGAAAAGGGTGATACGTATCTAAAGGCATGACATGTTTCTTGCTTGTTTGCTCCCTAGCGGCACTGTATGAGGCCTTTACTTCTTCCCTGTTGATGGTCCTTGAAGAGTTACACAATGAAGTGGTATCTTCAGTAGGCTCTGAGTCGTCGCTCTCCCTTGCAGAAAGAGCAGACATTACACGATGCCACTCTACTGCTATCATCAGTGCGCATTGATTCCTCATTACTTCGGCTGCTTGGAACAGGATTGGTCGCACGATGCAGCTACAGTTCCTGTGCATGGACCTGGGTCTCTCCCTCACACCTGAAATTGACAGCTCCTTCCACACTCTCTGTGTCTCTCTCGCGCTTGTCTCCCTCTGTCTCCCTCTGTCTCCCTCTGTCTCCCTCTGTCTCCCTCTGTCTCCCTCTGTTTCTCTGTCTCTCTGTCTCTCTGTCTCCCTCTGTTTCTCTGTCTCTCTGTCTCTCTGTCTCTCTGTCTCTCTGTCTCTCTGTCTCTCTCTGATGTGCGTGCATACTCTGTCTGGGTTGTGTGGGATACTGCAATGACCTCACTTTTTTTTTTTTTTTAATGTGCGCTCTCCCTGTAAAAATGTACGTTTTTTTTAATGCTGGGCTTGTCTCACTGATCTATGTAAATGCTAAACCTTTGCATGTGGCAAAAGTTTTCCGCAAAACCCAGCATTGGTTTCTCCTTTTTTCAAAGTTTTTTTTCATTTTTTTTTTTTTTTTTCTTGTGAAATACCCTGAAAGGTGGCATGTATGCTAAACGGTGTGGGTAGAGCGGAACACACCTCTGAAATTTCAAAAAGTTTGTGAAATGCCGTTTTGGATTTAAATCTTTGCTTTATACCCCTGTCAGGGGGTTGTCAACTTTTTGCTATACCCCTGTCAGGGGTAGAACAGAAACTTGTGCAACCCCCTAATAGGGGTAGATTGCAAAGGTTTAAACTTTTAATCTGAAAGGGCATGTAACAAAATTTTGAAATTTCTGAGGGGTATTGTGCTCTACGCATATCTTTTAGTGGTATTTTTGCATAAACGTGAGGTTTCAGGGCTATTTTGTGCATTTTCCCTTGTTAGTATCGAGGGGTATTTTTGCATGTACGTGAGCTTTCAGGGGTATTTTGTGCATTTTCCCTTATTAGTATTTGTCTTAAAGAAAGGGCAAGTCTGCCTTACTGTGTCCACCTAATTCCACCAGGAGTGGAACTCGTGAGGAGTGGAACTCGTGCTCGGTCTCTTAATGGCTACATCTTTTGACAATTCAGCCCCATTTGGCTATATATCTCTTGGCCCCGTTTTCTCTTTTTGCAAGTGAGCTGTGGAATAACGTAATGGATGATTTTGCCTCTGTGTTTGTGTCAGGCATTTCTCCAAGTTGACACCGTCAAGCAAGGGCCGGCTTGTGGATAGTCTGAGCACCAATTTGTCTGTGCTAAACCCCTCAATTGCATCTTTGGGTAACTGTGCATCAAGAACCCCGCTCAATGGCGACAATGGTGCAGCAACTGCAGATGTGGTTCAGTCTCATCGTAATGCTTTCAAGATCTACACCTACTTCCTTCATTGTATCGTGGAAGCAGGAGAACGGGATGAAACTAAAAAAGACAACGATTCGGGACAGGCGTCTGCCGCTGGTCGACGCAAGGTTGAACAGAATCCGCATTTGCTCAACCCTAACCCTAAGCCCTAAGCCCTAAACCCTAAGTTGTAAACTGTAGACTGTTTTCCATCTGGTCTGCTTTTTTTTTTTTTTTTTCTTGTTGAAAGGCAGGTGCCATGCTAATCTTCTCTGTATTATTCCAATTTTAATGGATCTCTTAAAGGACTCCGTGTGTTGTTCCCTTTCTTCCTTCTCCTTCTTTCTTCTTCTCAGACTTTCAAATCCTGCAGCTCTGTCGTTCCCTATCTCCCATCCTTGGATGTTCGCTTTCGGTTTTTCTTCCTTCTTCTTCCACCTTCACGTCCTCCAGCTCCTTGATTCCCTACCATGATGCTAAGGCCACTCCCGTCCCGATCCTCATGGGTTCGTTAAGTCTTCATCCTGCTGTATTCGTTCTCTTGCGAGCTTGCTCTGATCCCAGCTTCCATGAAGACACTGGATGTGGCAAAATCCGAGATGCGCGCTTTGAGTTCTAGTGCTTTGCTCGTATGCTGCTGCAATATTTTTATCCTTATAATTTCTTCCTGTGGTATGTCTGTCTTGTTGTGCCCATCCCGACCTGCTCCTCTCTCATTCTACCGACTGCAGTAGACTCTCAGAGCTACTCTTAGGCCTAGACAAGGAATGCCACGCCGCAAAGGGACTAAAAATAGAACAGAATGCCACTGGATCAAGACAGTGTCCTGTACAGTTTGTGTCTTGGGGACACATGTTAACTATGCTCCTTTGGCCAAGGCAGTGAAAATTCAGGTGTATGGTAACCAATGGTAGTGTGCAGCAAAAGGAGAAAGGAGGGAAAATAATGTTTAACTTTGTTCGGCATATTTGTCGTTTGTAACCTTTTTCCCTCAGAGGGTAAAGGTTACAAAGGGCAGAGAACCGTCTGTCCTTGCAGGCTCTTTGCAAAGGGCTGAAAACCGGTAGAACTCCATTATTACATCTTGGAAATGTAGGTTTTTGAAAAGTTCGGAGCATTCATTATATGGTTGATGCAGTGTAAGGTCTTGCTCTTGGGCTCATGTGGCGAGGTCTTGCTGGGCTTCAAGGTGGTGTCTAATTCCTCTCTCTCTCTCTCTCTCTCTCTCTCTCTCTCTCTCTCTCTCTCTCTCTCTCTCTCTCTCTCTCTCTCTCTCTCTCTCTCNCACTTACACTGCAAATCACAAATTAGCAAATAGTCCTCTTGCTCTGCCAGTACTGTCCTAGCATGTTGCTGGGAGATTTGAAGGGTGTGAATTCCTTTATCTTCCTCAGAGATAATGACGTCCACGGCAATTCGGGCAATTCTAGATTGACGAGTTCCTCTGGCGCCCTAAACCAGAAGGTTAGTCTGATTGCCCGTTTATTCTGAAGGTCTTTTTCCTGTCCTAATAAAAACGTGGTTTCTTTTTTCTGATGGACCGTTGGAAATTTCTGGAGGAGAACCATATCGCGGCGACATGCCATGTAATTGCTAGAACGAAGTCGTTTATGGCCAGGAGCCACCAAATAACTGCCACAGCAGATATTTAGTAGTCCATGGATATAGGATGAGGAACATAAGCCATGGTCCCTCTCAAAAGTGCTGTCAAATGGGGGCATTGGTGGGAGAAATGACCTTCTCCTTTTTTTTCGAAATCCTTAGGATGCCTGCTAGAGGAGTCATATGAGCAACTCCTAGCGGACCTGTCCCTGGATGCTCCGATCTATTGGCGGGGAGCAGCACTGCTGGAAACTGGGTCCAGCGTCCCATTGTACAACCCTTCCACCTCTACCCCGGGGCCATTACCTGGTTTCAGCTTTAAAGATCCTCAGACACAAAGAACATGTGACAATTGCACAGATGGATGGTTGATGAAGTGAGAGAGAGAGAGAGTTTAGACAAGACTTCAAAGGCTGACACATGCTTATCAACAATTGAGCTGGATCTAATAATTGAAAGCATTCCCCTAGAACGAGAGGGGAGATTGGGCGGCAGGAAGGAACGTAAACACTTGAAAGGCGGTTCTAAACCACCAGTTCGGACAAGCAATGTAAGGCCTGAGTCCCCGAGCCTGCACAGTCTGGAACATCACCCCAACCAGGTCACACCAACTTTGATTGGGATATGCATTATGTTTGGTTCTGGCAGATCTGCGTAACAGATCTGAGAGGAAAGGGTGACGCCTGTCTCTTATACACATCTAGATGTGTATAAGAGACAGCTCTTCCCCTGTCCCTATCCCCTGTGTGTATCTCGCTCTCTCTCCCCCTCTCACCCCCTCTCTCCCCCTCTCCCTCTCCCCTGTGTGTATCTCTTTCTCTCTCTCTCGGTCTCTGTCTCTCTGTTTCCTTCGCTGTCAGTGCACCTCTGTTTCTCTCCTAACTGTCTTCCTGGCTTTCCGTTTTTTTCTCTATTGTCTGAATGCCAGGGAAAAACATCGAAAAACAGAGACACGTTGCATGGATGGAACTGGGACAGCATGCGCGGGAAAGTGATCAAGCCAATCGCCATGGCACTGGAAAATGATCTCCGCCCTTTGTTCAGGGGGAATCCAGATGAGGGCCTCGTTGCAGTACTGGCAAAGTGCGTTTCCTCTAAACTTGTTTCCTTCTTGTTTCAGTTTCACAAGCCTCCTTGTGACTCCTTCATTTGTCTTAAAAAATGGCCACCTACTTCCCGAACCAGGGAACCAGCCCTCAGGAGATGCAGTGAGTGACTTGCTTTGCCATTCTGATGGAATGGCAAGAGGCTGACTTGTGGTGGTAGAGGTGTACTGCGGTTCTTTTTGGTGACGCGGGGGTCCTGAGCCTCCTCGTGCCTATCTTTTGAACCCATTGTTCACTGGCGTGTTCTTTTGGGCCCCACTATAGACAGCGGTAATTTGACAGTGCCACCATTCTCTCGTGTGTTGCGTGCCCAATGATCTGTCTCTGCAGTTTATTGCAGTTCCGCTAGCTCCGGTTCGAGTAGACAAGAGGGTGACATAAGGAAAAGGGTTGAAAGAGAAGTCTCAAAACCTTGAGAGCAACAATATTATGTCATCGTACATGCATCTGAATGTACAAGCATATGTAACATAGATTCATCTGACAAAGATATGGAGTGTACTTTAAACTTTTGGACCTTTTTATTACCGGTAGGTTGTGAGCATGCTGTGTGCTGCTGTCTTCCCCCGAACGCTATGCGCCCTGGCCATGAAGGTACAGAAGTGATGTTCCGGTACGATACAGTAATGATCCGGTGCGTTGTGTTCAGGGGATGAAGGTAGTTTGAGTGGGGGACGGGTGAGGATGTGTGATGGCTGGGAGACAAATCTTACATGGATGCCGACATTCATATGACAGAGGTATTGAGAGTGGAGAGTACTCCCTTTGTTGGACCGAGTACAGGTTGTTGAATAGGGTGTTTACTTGGCCCACTTTGGCACGAAGTCTGGAGTATTCCATTGTGTTTGAGTGTACACGTTCAATATAGCCGTTCTTGTTGAAGAGCGACATGGGCAGTTTGAACTTCCTTTTCTGTTTTGCTTTTCTTCAACTCACAGTTTGTATTTGTACTGGAAATCGAAATCGAATTAGCTTTTGCTCTTATGCTCCACACGAGATTTCTGTTCGTATTCAGCTCATCTTGTGAGGACATCCACCTGCGTTCTCTTCTAACAGATGTGCCGCCCCAGCCAAACTCCCCACCTGATGATGTCTTTTGCTTGGACCAGATGCATTTATTGGAGAGAGCAAGGCAACTGTGGTTGCAGTGCGCGGACTGAGGCCTCCAAGTGGGGAACCAACACCTAAGCAAGTCCTTTTTGTGCATGGTTGTGAGGCAGTTGAAAATTTTCTTCTCTATGAGAATAGTTAAATTATTTTCCATCCTTGCTTGGCTTGAATGTGCAGCTTTGCTATGCATTATACAATGTATGCAATTGCAGTACCATTCAAACTAATGGTTCCTCCCCCCTCTTCCCCCCCTTCCCCCCCTTCCCCACAATGATTCTAAATGTGGATGAAGAATGGTCAATAGAGGCAGCTGACTGCACTGCTTGGCCTGTGGATAAGCTCAGGTGCTTGACTTGACTTCTGTGGCATAATGGTTTGCCTTCTCTTCTTGGCTTTTGCTTGGTTCTTCCAACTCTTGCAGGACTGCATTCAGCTTGCTTGAGAAACCAACGGTGTGTAGCGATTCAAGCTTAAAGGCTGACGTGTTTGGGATCATTTTGAATTGTGCTTTAAGGTTTGGTTACCTTGTTCCGACCACCTCACAGCTGATCCACCTGTTACATAAACATGACCACCTGTCGGGACACATCAGTGATCTGCTGGTACTTGCTGATAAGAAATTCAATGACTCGCGTCTGCTGGGGGCTGTGCTTGGCGAGATTGGGCGAATAGATTCAAAGTACTATGTGCGTGACACAACAGGTGCCCAGAACGTGGCGACGTTTCTTGGGGATGTAACAGAGAAGTTGCCAAAGGGTGTTGCGAGAAACCTCAGTGTCTTGATGGTTCATTTCGATGGTGAAGCGCATCAGATGAGAAGCGCACTTGTTGGGGCAATCGGGCGGATCATTGCGAGGGCATACAGTGGAAGTGGCCCAGCTATTGGGGATCAAGGCGCGCTGCGAAGCAAACAGGGATTGCTCGATGTTCTCGTCGAGAGGTTGCGGGACACATCAGCATACACAAGGGGCAAGGTTTTGCAGACATGGGCTTACCTCTGTGAGGAAAATGCAGTTCCATTGGGTCACCTGAACCATGTGGCAGAGCTGGGTGCAGGACGACTCCGAGACAAAGCAGCTATGGTAAGAAAAAGTGCCCTGCAGCTGCTTGGCACCCTGCTCCAGCAAAACCCCTTTGGCCCGACGCTGAGCACGACGACATTTGAGGCCACTCTTGCGATCTACAAAAAGAAACTTGCGGACATGTTGGAAGCAGAGAAGCAGAGGGAGGATGGGAACGGAACTGAGCGTGGTGGTACTGGTGAGGACCCGTTTTGTGAAAAGAACGACGTTCTGGATGGGACAACTTCAGCTGATAAACCGAATACATGCCAGAATGGCGACGACCAACAGCCTGTGGATAGTGTGAGTGGCGGTCCTGCTGAACGTGACAATCATGATGCTTCAAAGGTATCTGACGCTGGCACAAGTTGCCCTGACACGCAGTATCCTGACAGTCAGGCAACGCAACCTGAGGATTCAGTGGAATCAAGGAGTACTACACTTACAGAGTCAGACATTGGTGGGGTGGACCAGACTCGCGCACTTGTGGCTTCGCTGGAGTCTGCCTTGGCGTTCTCGTCATGTTTTGCGAATATCATGCCTGTCTTGGGAGAACTGCTGACATCATCGGCAACAACAGATGTTATAAAGACCATACATCTGCTGGTTATTGCGCATGCCTTCAGCATCGATGACTCAAATCTGTGTCTTCGGAAAATGCTTCCTCTCGTGAGTGCTTTTTTTTTGTCTTTGGCTCTTGTTTTGCCCACCGTTTGGAAGCACCTCATGTTTCAGCAGTTGTTCCATATCCTGGGAGCTTATTGGCCGGATGGTGTTTATGGTAGGTTCACAAGGGCACAAAGGTTATTCCCAAAATTTGACATGAAGGCTTTGTGATGGTTCCCATCTTTTCTCTTCGCTCTCAAATGTTGTGTGCCCCCCCCCCCCCCCCCCTCCTCCCTAAGAGAAATGGGTCAGTCCTCACATCACCATATCCAACAGGTCTTAAGACACTCACTTCTTAGAAGTTCTGACAGGTGTGCCATCTTTCATTTAACAGCCAGGAAGATTTCCTCCCCCCCCTCCCCTTCCTCTGCTTGTAAGTGATATTGAGTCCTTCTTGGCCCTGTTCCTTGCAAATTATGTAGAAGTACATTGTCTGTAACGTCAAGTATTTTTTTGACGCATTGAGGTTGTAGGGGCATGTTCACACTAGGACTTTTTGGACTGATTTGTAGACGTAGTCACAGTCCAATACGTCCAGAACGGTCCATAATTGCAGTCAGATACATCTTGGAAAGCCTTAGTGTTAGCATACTATCCACTAGTTACCTTACTGCAGCCTGGTAGCAACAGATATCTGCACCAAGTACCTTGCACAGGTCTCTTCGGCTGTGAGTTCACAGCCTAGCTTAATGCTTTCTTGACCCTTAAGAAGATTAACTATCCAATAGCATGCCCCAGTAGGCTATGTATTTGTTAGGCTTCAATGAAACCCGGTGTTTTACTCATGCAACAAAATTGACTGTTTAGTGGGCTGGCTACCTTGCCTGTTTCCAGTGACTCGTTGCCTGAGACTTTTTTGACCCTTGAAAGGAGTAATAACTAATGACATGCCCTAGTAGGCTATGTATTACATGCCCTAGTAGGCAATGTATTTGTTAGGTTTAAGCAAAATCAGTCACGGAGCAAAACTAGGCATCTCGCTCATCCAACAAAATTCATGTTTTGTGGGCTTGCTTCCTGTTCCTTGTGTGTTTTTCAGTGACTTGGTGTGGCAAGGGTTCCATCAGCATTTTCTTCTTCTGTAATTTCCTTTCTAGTTTTGGTTATGTTTTTTTTGTGTGCTGACTATACTTGCCTTTGTCTGCGGTATGCGATCTAACTATGCTATCTCCGTTGCTGCTTCGCCTCTAGTTCTTTGTTGTGGTTTATACTGCTGCTGCTGTCTCTGCCATGTGTTAACAGTACTATTACTACTACTTCTAGTATTCCTCACACTGCAGTTCACTCTTTTCACCTCTGCTACTACCTCTTCACCCGAATAGAATGCCCGGTTGTTATAGCCATATTTGGGGCAACTTTCAGTCCAGATGCGGCCATATTGACTTGCCGTTCTATTCGGATGAAGACAGTAGTGGCATTAAGGCACCAGTACACCACATATCGGCCCGCGGGTGTCAGCATGAAACCCGCACCATTTTGGAGGCCGCCGATTTTGTTTTTCATTGGCGGGCCTGTTCGCGCAGCGCCTCCGCAAGGCTGGGGGCGTGTACTAGCGGTTTAATACCAGAATACCATGCACCCGATTCAATTACCTCTACCATTGGACGACTATTAGAGTCACTTTCACCACTGCTATTTGCACTCCAGCTACTGTCACTGCTGGGAATTATCGTATTATGATTGCTACTACCTCTACTGCCACTGGTGGTGGTGGTGGTGGTGGTGGTGGTGGTGCTACTGCTACTGCTACTGCTACTGCTACTGCTTTGGGTACTAATTAATGGCCATCTATTTCTTCCCAGATGAATGCAAATGACATCCAAACCATTAGCATGTTGATGACGTGTGCATTCTAACTGTTGCAGATATTCTGCCAAGAGTCATCTGTGCGAGATGCAGTTCTGGAGGCGTTTGTGTCACTGTACTTGAGCAAGCACCCCGTGGAAAGTGCACGGAATTTAATCGAGTTGGTTCTGGGAGCGACGGTGGGCGACCTCGCGGCTTTGGAATCGATCATCATATCCCTGATGAAAAACGGTATCGTCCACTATGATACGGTAATTGACCAACTGATGGGTAACAGCACCACAACTGGGTCCGAATTGCGAATTGTCGGCTGGTTGTTTTCATCCCTATGTCGGAGTGGACAGTTGCCATGCACCTCTGCTTGTCTGGTCATGTTAAACCTTTGTAGTAGTTTGTACTTTCGCTCCTTCAGGGTCGGGGTCGACTAATTTTATTTGGCTTCTGTTATTGTCCCTGCTGTTTTCTCTTTTCATATCGTTTTGTAATCAGAAAGAAAACCTATGAATCTGAGCAGAAATTAAGTAGGAGGTGGTGCTGAGAATTCTCCCCCTTACCCATCCCATGTGGCTGAATGGTACACTCAAGTCTCATGAACTGTCGATAAACAGACCTGTGTTAGAATCCTGATGGGATCAGATGAATGAAGTAACTGTGAATTATCAAGGGCCGGTCCGTTCAATGATGATACCTCGAAGAGAATTCCCCCCCCTTTGAAGTGGTTGAAGAATAACTCGGATTTAGGAAATGCATGCGTCAGACTGCTTTCAGGATTATAGCACTTGTCCGATAAAGAAACGGTGGTGGTTGAGCTTGAAGATGGCCAGCCTTGTAAATGCTATATCGATAAGCTTGTTATCCGGCCTTTGGCGGTTGTTTCTGGTCCGACGAAGGATTCTAAGTCCATATGCGTGGATGTATATGCAGGCTCCAGAGCCTTTTTTCCTAAAGAGGTAGCTACTCTGCCCTGTTCCTGCCTAGTGCCTTTGCTAAATCGGACGTGTTGAACGTCTGGGACTCTATGCATGTGAAGTGACTCACGAGTCTGATTTTGTGAGGAACTACCGATGGTGAACCAATAGGGCCAAATAAATCTTAGAGACATTTTAGCTGTCCCTCCCCGGTAATGTATTGGTGTGCCCTCCAAGTTCAACGCAGTTTCAGAAATTGCAAATCCTCACTCGAACATTGTAAAGAGTGCAGGTCTGCAGAAAATTTTAAGGCGCGAAGCGGTGAAAGTCGCCAGCTCAACTGCTTAGGATTGCCTGATAACCATCCATCTTCTGTCTGTCTTGACTTCTCTCTGGTGCTGTTCTCACGTCAGAATCACTTGGTATTTCAACCTTGTAACCATCGTCCTTTTGTCTATGTTGTTGCTTCTCTCTGGTGCTGTTCTTGCTTCAGATTCGGTCCCTTTGGGACGTGTTCAGTTTCAAGTTGGCAGGTGTGACTCCGGTTCAAAGCCGAGGAGCACTTATTGTCCTTGCAATGGCAGCCAAAGGCAAACCGGAGATTGTATGCAATCGTCTACAATGTCTCATAGACATAGGATTTGGGCATCGGGCAAGAGAAGATGGTCTTTTGGCGAGATATGCTTGCCTCACAATCCAACGAATGTCATTAAAGGACAAGGAAAAATTGACGAGCAACCACAAGGTGTTTTCGGCACTGTCGGGGATCATTGTAGCATCACCACTGCCTGAGAGCTCCTGGTACTCTGCTGCTGAGCAGGCAATCAACACTATCTACTGCCTCCATCCGATGCCTGAGCGCATTTGTGCACAGTTGCTTCACAGGCTGATGGTCAGCACATTCCGCATCGGATCTAATGGAGAGCAGCAACAGGAGGGACAGTGGCTATCCTCACCAGAGGAACGGCAGATGGGAACATGTGCTGAAGACCTGAAATCTCCCTCTGATGGATCGGGGAAGGGAGTGGGAAGTATAAAGAATGCCAAAGCAAGAGTGATACCTTTAAGTCGTTTCTTGTTTGTGGTTGGACATGTGGCGCTGAAGCACCTTGTTTACGTAGAAAATGCTGCTAAGGTAGTTCGGAGACAACGGGCAGATAAGGAGAAAGCTCGTGCTCAGTCAGAAGCTGATCAGCAGGATGCTGATCTGGAGGCTGGCGTGCCGGCATCTGGTGGCATTTCAAATGGCAAAGAGGTGAGAAAACTCAACTTGTTTGGACTCTCTTTCTTACTGCGTACGCCCTTTTCATTCCTAGTGCAGTGGTGTCCAGAGATGTTTATGTGTGTTCTGAAATTACATGCTCATTTTGATGAGCGGAAGGCTTCAGTTTTCATACTATTCATGCTCAGGTGTCCAGTACAACGTGACCAAACAAACCCCCACGGGAACGACATTCGACCAAAATGACTGTTTTGTCAGAACGTAGGCTGCGAAGTGCAAGGCCGGTCACAATGCGGTTTAGCTCTGGCCGCCCACACCCTCGTCTGCCTAAATGGAAGACTTGCACATTGTTGAAGAAGGCGGATAGGCTGGAAAAACCAACCTGCACCAAACAACAAAAGTCGCAAGTCCGTATGTATGTGACTACTGTCAAAGAAACACCTGACAAGTCGCTGGAGACGAACAAAAAGCATCCCAAAACAAAGGGCTGATTGTAATCCCATGCTAACGTGCGAGGGCCGCTGCCATCCTCCACCAGCAAAAAAAAAAAACAGCGTGCATGAACAGAAGGCCTGCATTGTCTGTTTCACTCACACTTACACTGCAAATCACAAATTAGCAAATAGTCCTCTTGCTCTGCCAGTACTGTCCTAGCATGTTGCTGGGAGATTTGAAGGGTGTGAATTCCTTTATCTTCCTCAGAGATAATGACGTCCACGGCAATTCGGGCAATTCTAGATTGACGAGTTCCTCTGGCGCCCTAAACCAGAAGGTTAGTCTGATTGCCCGTTTATTCTGAAGGTCTTTTTCCTGTCCTAATAAAAACGTGGTTTCTTTTTTCTGATGGACCGTTGGAAATTTCTGGAGGAGAACCATATCGCGGCGACATGCCATGTAATTGCTAGAACGAAGTCGTTTATGGCCAGGAGCCACCAAATAACTGCCACAGCAGATATTTAGTAGTCCATGGATATAGGATGAGGAACATAAGCCATGGTCCCTCTCAAAAGTGCTGTCAAATGGGGGCATTGGTGGGAGAAATGACCTTCTCCTTTTTTTTCGAAATCCTTAGGATGCCTGCTAGAGGAGTCATATGAGCAACTCCTAGCGGACCTGTCCCTGGATGCTCCGATCTATTGGCGGGGAGCAGCACTGCTGGAAACTGGGTCCAGCGTCCCATTGTACAACCCTTCCACCTCTACCCCGGGGCCATTACCTGGTTTCAGCTTTAAAGATCCTCAGACACAAAGAACATGTGACAATTGCACAGATGGATGGTTGATGAAGTGAGAGAGAGAGAGAGTTTAGACAAGACTTCAAAGGCTGACACATGCTTATCAACAATTGAGCTGGATCTAATAATTGAAAGCATTCCCCTAGAACGAGAGGGGAGATTGGGCGGCAGGAAGGAACGTAAACACTTGAAAGGCGGTTCTAAACCACCAGTTCGGACAAGCAATGTAAGGCCTGAGTCCCCGAGCCTGCACAGTCTGGAACATCACCCCAACCAGGTCACACCAACTTTGATTGGGATATGCATTATGTTTGGTTCTGGCAGATCTGCGTAACAGATCTGAGAGGAAAGGGTGACGCACGGCAAACTGACAGTCAATCCTCCACTAGGTTGGAGTAATCAATGCTGTTCAGGGGTCCTTCGGCCAGACGGAAGGAAGCGTGGGTATATCATATTTGTAAAACTATTTTGACTTGCCAGTGGAATAGGAACCGGACTGATGCTCCCCAGAATGGAAAGGAGCCAGGACCTTAAGGCCCTGTTTAAAAAAAAGAAAAAAAAGAAAAGAAAGTTTGGTCCGAGGCCAGACACAGAACAGGCACTTTGTTTCCACGCCAGGCAGAGAACAGGCACTTTGTTTCGGCTATCCTTTTATAGAAGGGGGAATCATTTCTACGGGCAACCACGAGACAGAAGTAGTGAACAGAACAACCAGCCTGAGGCGAATTGGAGTACTAGAAGAGGACCGGAAATTAGGATACAGACCTAATCTAGAAAAGAGACAGCCTTGGCTCAGGGCCAAAGTTAATCTTCAGACCTGCTACGGCTGTTCAAAACTTAGAATTTGACCCGGCATAGTGGGTTTGGACGCCGGATAAGACCAAGAACATCAGGTCCAATGTCCCAGTTCACGAATACACAGTTAAATTGGGGTATAGACTTTTCTTGAAAACCAAAGATACCGACCCCATCATTAAAAAAAGATGGCAGAAGTTACTGGGCCAAGAGGCTGATAAGCTCACACAGATCCCTTGGAAGAAGTTCAAATCTATCAGACAAATCAAAATTAAGAGCCTTCAATGGCTCATAACTTATGCAGCCCTTCCAGTGAATCGATGGTTACACATCAGGGTTCAGACCCCAACAGTTCGGATTTATGCACAGTCTGCACAGAGGGGGCATAGAAGACATAATACACTGCCTAGTACACTGCAGGGAGGCGGCGGACTACTGGGCGAGGGCTTCGGCCCTCTGGGACTCCCTATTCCCGACTCCCTTCCCTGAACAACGTATCCAACTTCTTCTCTTGACTAACATTCCCGAACAGCTCCAGAAGACAGAAAGGATGTGGTTTGGGCTTATCAGAAAGGTGACCTTGTGGGTCATCTGGAAGGAAAGATGCAGCAGAACCATCGAAGGACTTCCCAACTCACGAGAGAAGGTATGGGCTGAGACGAAAACGATGATACAAGCCGAAATTCTCTGCAGATAGCAGAAAGCCAAACAATCATGGCGGGGAGACGAAGACCAGCAAAAGAAGGTGAGAACGAGATTCAGCAGGCTCTGGTTAGTAAGCGGAAAAGTGGCGGAGATACGAGAATACTGCATTCGCTGGAGGGACTGGCATAACTCGACCTCAGACAAGAGGGGGCAACGTTCTATAACAGTGGGTGGTCAGAATTCCTCGTGACCAGAACTCTACGAGGAAGAGGGAAGAACTTAGGGTCTAAGGGCCAGTCAGCCCCTAACAGGCTATGGTTGCTGGAGGGGAAGGGTGCGGAGATTCGACAGGAAGCGGAAAAGATTGGTTCAAGTTCAGAGACGGGTGGCCGAGCACCAAGAGTCAGGGAGGCGGCGGAGTCAGAGACAGACAGGGGAACACGTATGGGGGCAGCATAGCCAGGACACAAACTCAAGAGGGATTGGGGGCTCAGGGTATGATACGATCTCTGAGTTCAGAGCCAATGACTGGGGGTTCGGAAAGGAAGGACAAGATTGGAACCGGTGGAGCGGCCAGCTAGGGCACTGCAAAGAGAGGGTCTAGGGTTTAGGGTTCAGGGTTTAGGACGATACTTCCGTATGAAAAAGAATCCTTGAAGTATGAGCCTCAATGGTAAGCGCTCATAGCCCTTTTGCAGGCACATAGGTTGTATGGACCTGAGGAATGCTGGAGTAAGGTTACAACGGAAGACAGTTACGCTCCACTTAAAGGAAACAGGCAAGGTGTCAGCAAGGTTTAATGGCTTCCTGATGAGGGCTTAGGGGTTAGGGTTCTAGTGTTTTTAATCAAGGGGGAAGAGATCACTGCGGCCCATGGACAAGAAGGGCAACGGAGGACATAGAGGCTAGCTTGGTCAAGGGTTGAGCTCCTTCTAGGGGACATGGAACTATCTGGCAGATCTGGTTACTAGGTCTGAGAGGGAAGAGCGAGACATGGCAAGCTGGCAGTCAATCCTCCACCAAGGTGGAGCAATCAATGCTGCTCAGGGGTCCTTCGRCCAGACGGAAGGAAGCGTGCGTGATTCTTATTGTAATAATTTTCTGGCTTGCCGGTGGAATAGGAACCGGACTGATGCTCCCCAGAATGGAAGGAGCCAGGACCTTAAGGCCCTGTTTTTAAAAAAAAAACAAAAAAAAAAAACGAAATGAGACAGCTTGACCAGCAGGCCTAGGTCAGTTTTTGGTACACCCCTGAACTGTTGGAAATACAGGCCTGAGTTCGAGCTGCACTTCAAGCAGATGAGTAACATACTTCAATTCTGAATCACCTAGGGCCGCTCAGTTCGATGATGGTATCTCAAAGCTGTCCCCCCACTTAAAAAAAAAAAAAACAAGTTGGACCGGCCGTGCTGAGGCGGTGGTTCCGAGGCGGGGACGAGATGAATTGATGGACGGCCACATCAGCCAAACCAAACACCAAACCTTCTTGTTTTTTCCCAAAACAAAAACAAAAACCCAGTAAGCCAAAGGCAGACGCACCAGCTACAAAAAACAAACAAATGGCACCAGCTACCAACCAGCGTAGCGCAGTAGGTACACTTCCCTGAATCTTTGAAATGCAGACCTGAGTTCGAAGTCCACTGGAGGCAGATGAGCAACATACCACAATTCTGGTGATCCTCGCTCAAGTACTCACGGCATTTACAAAAGACAAAAAATATGGTGGTGTATCCGGGCACTTCTGGCAGAAGATTCATTCTCATTTTGCACCTTTGGTGAGTAGTGGAGTGAGGGCCCATATCTCATGGCCGTTACCTTTCCGGAGACATCCTCAGCTTCGCCCCACTACTCTCCACATGCAGAAAAGAAATAAGGGTGAATCTTCCGCCCGAACATGCCCAGTTACAACTCCATATTTTTTTGCCTTTTGTGCGTATGGAGAGCCTTGGCCCTTATGCATGTCGTTTCACTTTTTTCGTTTCTGTTTTTGTCGTTTTCTGCCACCACTGCCACGCCGTGGGTTCTTTAGGGTGTGGCTCCACTACTCACGAAATGTGTACATCAGTAAAAAATCTACCGCTAAACCATGGCAAGATGCAGCTGACGGAAAATACAAAAACAGAAAAAAGCCCAACGATGTGCAGTGTAGTGGCAGAAATAAACGCTTCGTTGGGCTACTCGCACATGCAGACAATAATGAATCTACCCCTAAACCATGGGAAGATGCAGCTGGCAGAAATGACAAAAACTGGAAAAAGCCAAACGACGTGCAGTGTGGTGGCAGAATAAGAAAGGAAAAAACAAAAGGCTCTGCCACAAAAATATGGCGGTGCATCTTCCCATGGTTGAGGGGAAGATTCATACAAAACCAAACAAAAAAAAGGTAACGCTGTGCAGTGCCCTGGCAGCGACGACACCACACGCCTGAGTGCAAAGCCTCTCGGCACTATGTACTTGTATTCGAACATGCAGCGGCAGATTTGCAAACCCTCCAGCTCATGCGGCCCACACATCGCCGTGGGCCCAAGAGAGAAACACCGTTTCCCAAGAGTGTAAGCCTGGCCTTGCAGGGCAATCATGCGAGACCCAGCTTACACTTCAATAAGAGTATAGAAAAAGAAATGAGACAACTTGAAAGGAACCCTTCATGGTGATCTTGGATAATAGTCTATGAAATCCATAGTGTGGAAGCATTACAGATTGATGGACTATAGTTCTAAGCTGTAGGCACTACAGATCAGTAGACTATAGTTCCAAGCTGGAGTGAAAACTAGTGTGGACTCTGTGGAGGCATTTACAGATTTGTAGACTACAGCTCCACGCTTGGGTACAAACTAGTGTGGAGGAATGAGGCTAGGAAGCTGAGGTAAGACTTAGAAGCGAAAAATTGTGCATAATTTTAGGCAGGGCTGTGACCGTCAGCTCAGAACCATACTCATAGGAAGCACCCGACCCCCCCCAACTGCCTCCCTTTGACTCACTCATCTTTAATCTTTTCTTACCAAGGAAACTCTCTGGGTGGGGAAGAGACGATGTAATGTCACAGTGGAGGGTCCGCCCACTCAGACAGACAAGCAGTATGCTAGTAGAGTTAGAACAGGCAGAAACAGAAATCAGGGCCCTGTGGCAGAGGACAAAGGAACGGATAAGACCAGCACCAGACAAAAAGATCAACCTTAGGAGCCAGTTGTCCAACACGAGGCTGGTAAAGGGCAGAATAGGCAGGTTAGAAGAGGGTAGGATTCATTTTGAAGACCGGGTTCACTTATAGCGGGAGGAGGAGGGGGCGCTGAGCGAGAGCATCGTAGTCCAGATGGCGCAAGGACTCTCTTCCCTACTTTTAAAAGATGAAGGCGACTGTGTAAGCCCTTCTGATTCCGTTTGAAAACCTCTCCTTGGGCGGAAAGGCAGGGAAAGTATTATTGGAACATTGTTGAACTGCCAGGCAAATGGTGTAGGTCGAGACGAACACTGAAACCACCAGTACATCGGAGCCTCTTTTTCCTGAACCAACAAGTGAACAAAGATCAACAAACTGTTACAAGCCTAGTTGCAAAGGCATGCTACTGTCCACATTTACTTTTGAGTTTTGAGTAATAGGCCTATCTTTATTGAATGTTGGAGTCCTTTTTCTTTGTTGGAGTCCTAAGGATTTCTTTGTTGGATACTGCCTCATTGGTGTTGAATTTGTGTTGTATGTGGACTCCGTATGTATGGCCTCTGAGCTTGCATGCAATGAAGGTGCAACTTACATTTGGCGTTTGTGCAGAACGGAGCTGCTGAAGATGAACTTGGCATCGGTGTCGAATCCCAAATAGAGGACGCTGCGCTTGATGCCCTTCAAGAAAAAACAGAGAAGCAGATTGTGTCGTCTGCAAATGGAAAGAGCTATTTGATTTCTGCTATTGCGCCCATTGTCTCATGCTTGTGCCGGAACAACGGCATTTTGCAGCAGGTTGGTAGGTTCCCATCCGTTGAATGAACGTACCACTGTGTATGTTAAGGCATACTTTGACTTGTCAGTTTCATTCCATTGTTAGATGCCGCACAGCTTTTCCTCAGCCTTGTTTGATGTTGAAATAGCAGCAATCTTGCCTGAACGTTGTTAGTGTCTATCAGATGTATTGCATCTTTTCTCAATCTTATCAGGTTTCTTGGCACACATGGTACTGAGAACTGTCAGAGGATCCATCCTTCACAGAGGATGAGGGCACTTGCCACAGGCAAAATGTGGATGCTTAAGCCTTCGTGATGAGCTCTTCACCAGAGTGCCTATGTGTTTTTGGCTCCGTAAAATGGCCAAATATGCACTTTTCTTCATTTTCGTTCCCCGTTCCTTATTCTCATGCTCATGCTTTGGATCGGTGGTCACTCATGCTCCCTTTGAAACATTTTTTTGGGATGAAAAACAAATCTACGAACTGGGGGAGAGTAATGTCCCCACCTAATGACAGCCTCAAGAGGGATGTCCCAAAGAGACTATTTCACATGCCCAACGGGGCGAAAAGAGAAGCCTGTATGACTGTACTTATCTGTCGGATAGGTTGTGCACTCTTCTGTGTCTACCAACGCACAAAAAAAAAAAAAAAAAAAAAAAAAAACACGCTGCTATGGGGTCCCAGCAGGTGTCGCACCATACTGCTCCGTGCGCTTGCAAGTATGGTACTGAGTACTACTAACCAATGCTGTAAATCTTTCTCATATGTGCAAACTGTCACCACTCTTTCCAACATTCAGCGAGACAACCTCGAAACATCTCCATCCTCCCTCTCCTGGTCATTCATCCGTGTTCCCTATTTGTTTTGGATGCAACCGGAGCTGCCATGGTCCATCCTGTGACTTCATGAAAGTTCTCCCTTTTCTGAACAATGCAGAACTCTCTGATACTCATACTACCGTATCACCTTTGTAGGCTCCTGAACGTGTTTTTTTTTTTTTTTTTTTTTTTTTTTTTTTTTTTTTTTTTTTTTTTTTTTTTTTTTTTTTTTTTTTAATTTGTTGGGGGCATTTCTCGATTTATGCGTGTCATCATTGCGCAGGGGCCATGTTAATCTTCTCTGTATCGTTCCAATTTTAACGGATGTCCCGAAGGACATTGTCTTGACATCTGTTTTTTGTGAGCCCTGTCTTTGGACTTCTTACTACACCCTTCGCACTTTACTGTCGTATTTACTTTTCCGTGTAATATTATACAAACCAGTTGTCCATGTACTGGGATAATGTTCGTAGTGGACTTCTGTAGCCTTCTTCGAGGCCAAAATAGGTATGGCAATGCCGTCGAATACTGAGCAATCTGCAACTGGCAATCGTTCATGTTGTCATGTACAGTTCCCTGCTTTGCGACCCTCGGCTATCTTGGCGCTCTGCAAGCTGATGGCAGTCGATGCGAAGTTCTGGTGAGTTTCAGGAGACATTTCCCATTTCCCATTTCCCATTTCCGGAATGTCCAACAGAAGCAACTCAGTACCTATCCCTACAGCCCTCTAAAGCCCGTTGGCTGGGGGGTCCATTCGACTCCATTGTCATCGGACTGTGCGAGCCGACGGGTTGGTCTGTCCCAAATTCTGCTGCGACTTCTATGAGTCCACGTAAAGCTTATTTCACTGCAACAACCATTGTTATAGCGGTGCTAACTGAAATCATGATATTTAGTTGGTTTGCAACTATATGGGGAGGTTCAATGCAATTAAAAACACCTATGCCATTGACTATAGGATTCATATGCTTGTTTACCATAGGAGGACTTGCTGGGCGGGATCCATGAACTTCACCGTAGACCGAATAGCTCGCAAACCTTTTGCATTCTTTTCCAACATGTTGCAGTCCCCATCGAATTGGTCCCAGTTGGGTGAATTGGATGCTTTTAAGGGCCACTTACACACTGAGCTTCGCCCTTCACAAACCATTTTGTCCATTCTCAGTGTTAATTGTAGTTATTCATGCTCAGTGTTAATTGGAGTTTGCATCTAAACAACAATTCCAATTCAGATCTCAGTTTCACTGCTTCTGATCGTGGACCAGAGATTGCTACATGATGATGCATCTCTCAGCCTTCGACTGATTGCTTGCATTGGGTTTCAAGTTTTCTAATTCACCCCCTTTCTTAGGGTTCTTTCACCTTCCCCTCACTGCATTTCTGTAACTATTGGTCACTGAGAAATATGTTGGCTTAGAGGCTGGTCCCCCACAGAATTCGAACACGTTGCATTTGCTTTTCATCTTGGAATGAAAGATCAGTGGGATCTACAGTACCAAATGGGTTTTTGTGGTCTATGTGAAAATCATGAACTGCATCCGTCTGTGACCCTGTTTTCCCCCTATCGCAGATCTTGGGCCTTGGGTTGTCCGACGGCCTTTCAATTTGAAATCACGAACTGCCTCAGTCTGCACCCTCGTTTTCCCGCGATTGAAGTTGTGGGCTGTGGCATTTTTGGAGGTGGCTGGCCTTGCTCTTTTGAGTCATGGTGGTTTCTTTCAAAAAAACAAAAAACGCCTGTGTACATTACATGTGCTATTCGGCACAACGTGGCAAGAAGGTGGATTGCGGGCAGCAAAGGAGAAAACAAGAAATAGCGGCCAGCAAATAAGAAAAAGTGGGCTGGCGATCGTGGCGGGAGAAGTGAGAATGTGAGGATATGTTTGCATTGTCAAACATCGGCGTGAGTTGGTCTTGGTGCGATGGACAAGATAAGCGATGTTCAACCATCTGTACCCATGGTTAGAGTGATATAGACGTGGAGAGAGAGAGAGAGAGAGAGAGAGAGAGAGAGAGAGAGCTGTCTCTTATACACATCTAGATGTGTATAATCACTCACACTTACACTGCAAATCACAAATTAGC